TCTCCCTTCCAAACACTAGCTACCCTCCAGGAAGTCAGTGGACATAAAGTTGTTGATTAATAACTCACCACTCTGAAACTCTTGCTCCAGTCCATGTTGCCAAGCTGGTAAGGGGAACATGTACAGCTGAACCGAGGCTGTGTTTACCGGTTTCTCGCTGACCTGCCCTTCTCTGCTTCTGATTGGCTAGTAGTCTTTAACCAGGTACTGCTAATGTGCAACTTCCAACAAAGATCATGTAGAGACAAGATGTATCACTCCATAGCTAAAACGAAGCCTTCAACACAGGGTGAAAAGAGGAGCTGCAGCAATGTGCAGTAGGACAAAAATATGTGTTTTTTGAAAATGAAACCATGTAGACCTGTTCTGGTACAACCCATAAATAAGATTTTGAACCTGAAAATGAGCAGAATACCACCTCTTTAAAAAGGGATTACAGCCACTCTGAAAACACAGATAATTCAAAGGGATTCACGTTGTTTCCTCCCAATTTGAGTCTTCTGGTGCTGACGTGCTGCGGTAAGCGTATTGACTCGTATTCTTGTGTGTTGGTAGCTTGTTTGGCTGCTCTCACTAAATACCAGTTAAATGTGTTAGATTTTGTCATTACAGCGGCTAATTGTCCACTAAACATGTATTCTTACAGTAGTTCTGCTTAAGCACTCACAGTTCTTTCCATTGTTTACCAACTCTTTAAATCTCATAGTTGTTTACCAAAGTTTTGGTAGCCAACACTACCGTACTTTAGCTTAGCTGTTAGCGACTAGAATGGCTTCCCTTTCTCCCTCTCCTACTCTCTCTTGCTTGGTGTGTCAGATGTTAAGTTACGTCTCTGCCTCGTTAAGCGTTAATGGTACGTGTGAAAAGTGTACTTAATTTGTAGACATGGAGGGGAGGCTCAGTGATTTAGAAGGCTTGCCACCTTCAACTAAACCTCTCTAACTGAACTCTTGGTCATTCCAGCCAAGCAATCTATCCACCATAACATCAAACTACAAATTGACTCCGCAACCATCACTCCAACCAAGGTGGTGAGAAACTTGGGTGTCATGATTGATGACCAGCTGTCCTTTTCAGACCATGTTGCTACTGTCTCTCTCGGTCGTGCCGCTTTTCTCTGTACAACATAAGGAAAATCAGGCACTACCTCACTCAGTACGCCACCCAGCTTCTGGTACAGGCCATGGTTATCTCTCGCCTCGACTATTGCAATTCCCTCCTAGCAGGCCTTCCAGCTTGTGTGGTGAAACTCTTACAAATGGTTCAAATGGCTCTGCCAAACCTTCACACAAAGCAATCCCAGTCCCGGCTATTCTCATCTGTGACACCATGATGGTGGAACGAGCTGCCGCACGCCATCAGAGCAGGGCGTCCCTCTCTAACTTCAAGAAGCTCTTGAAAACTCATCCCTTCTGAGAACACTTCCTCTTATAACACCTCTAACTCCTAAACCTCTTACATGCACTTCCTGTGCTCTTCTTCTTCTATCCCCTACAATGATCTTGTATTGATTGCACTTTTGTTAACTCTTCCTTCCCTAGGTATCTACCCCATTGATGTGATATGTACTGTGAGCTCTTACTAGTATTTATTGCTGCTCTTACTAGTATGCATTGTCAGTTGTAGATCTGCATTTGATGCTCTGTTGATGCTTGTATGTTGTTCCTCAAATGTAAGTCGCTTTGGATAAAAGCGTCTGCCAAATGAGTAAATGTAATGTAAATGTAAGTTAAGCTCTGCATCATGATCGATCAGTCGTTAGCTACTGTAGAAAGTAGGGGTGTAACGGTACACATATTCATACCGGACCGTTTCCATACAGGACTTTTGGAACGGTGCACATGTGCAACGAATGCAGTCTTTAACTTCATATATTAGGCTTGTTTGTGTGGAACATAAGTAAATACCGAGTTTCCACACGGACATATTAAGTGGCACTACAGCGCTACACAAGCAACTGCTTTAGCCCAGCCTCTCGCTAACTATTGAATTAAGCATCATGGCCAGTGGAGAGAAGCCAGAGCTTTAAGAACCTCCTTTATTGTTAACGTCTTCTGTTTGGGAACTGTTAGGTTTCCAGTGAAATACAACAAGTCGATAAGACGAAAGCAGCGGGAAGACGATCGGATATGTTTCTAGCAACATGTCAAAGTTGCTATCTCACTAATGGGACACCACATTGCATTTACATTTATTCATTTTGTCACACTCTGCTGGACAGCCAGTCTTTGTGTTGCACTTTTTAGTTAGTATTTTCCTTATAGTATGTTGGGTTTTGGGGGTCTGCTGGGTCCATATTTGGTCGGGTCATTCGGTCACGGTTTGGTATGGTGAAGCAGGTAGTAGGTTGGAGGACCCAAATGCAGGACACGAAAGCCAGCAGGAACAGTTCAGAAGGGTTTTAATACACAAACAAAAGACGAGCATACTTACAAACAGAGTGGCTGAACAAAGGCTGTCCAACAGAAATCCAAAAGGGTGAAAACCAGAATCCAAAAATGAGCAGGGTAACAGGGAGACACGCCGAGTAGGGCTGAAGACACGAGAACAAACTGCTACACAAGGTGAAACATACAATGACCCGACAAAGACAAGACAGAAACACCAGGTATTTATACACACACAGGGACTAACGAGCAGGGCGGGAGCAACACAGGTGAAAGACATGAGGCTAATGAGGCACAGGCAGGGAGAGAGAGCACCCTAACCCCAGAAAATAAACCGAATCGTGACGTCAAAACCGAGGTACATACCGAACTGAGATTTTTGGGTACTGTTACACCCCTAGTAGATAGCCACCCCCGAGTACTCAGTGCGGACCGACCTGAGTTAGCCTCTAGTAGCCGTCCTCCAGCATCCCCTGAGCAGCCAGGAAAGGGTGGCTGGGTGACTGTCCGAAGGAGGAATAGTCGTAAGCATTCTAACAGATTTTCCCCACTCAGCGACACATCCGCTGAGGAATCAACTCTGATTATTGGCAGCTCCATTTGGGCAAAGTGGGCGACATCAAGTCTTATTTGAAACTGCTGACTAAGGATAAAGCCTAACACACTTCTCTGTGCAAAAGAATAGGATAACTAATGTGGCGTCAAACATCAGATCTCTCTCTTCTAACGGTGTACCCGGACTCCCTTGTTATTGTTCTCTGTGACTTTAACAGGGGAAATCTCAGCTAAGAACTCCCCAAATACAGAAGGGAACACTTTGGATCACTGCTACACTACAGTTGGCAGTACCTATCATCTACAACACCAGATCTCTGCAAACGACACCACTTCTGTCTGGAGGGGGTTCAGACAGATCACAAACTATAAACTCCCACCCCATAAACGATTCTCGCCTGGCAAATGAGTTGAACCATCCCCCATGACCCCTCTGCTCAGCTCCAGCACCTTTCCACCATCTCCTCCCCCTCCACTGAGTTGGCCAGTCCCACCCCTCCACCCTCTCTCCATCTCAAAGAGAGATGTCAACAGACTGTTCAGGAGGAAGAAACCTCACTAAGCAGCTGGGCCGGACTCTGTCTCCCCATCCACCTTGAAGCACTGTGCTGATCAGCTGTCTCCAGTGTTCACAGACATTTTTAACGCCTCACTGGAGACAAGCCATGTGCCAGCCTGCTTCAAAGCCTCCCCATCATCCCTGTCCCCAAGAAACCAAGGACCACTGGACTAAACGACTACAGAACTGTCGCCCTGACCTCTGTGGTTATGAAGTCCTTTGAGCGCCTTGTGTTGTCCCACCTTAAATCAATCACAGATCCACTCCTGGACCCTGGACGTTGTTCGTCTGCACATGATCCATGAACTACAGAAACTTCATACACGTAGGTGAAACTTTGGCGCAGGCCTGCTCTGTAGGGGTTGCTACCGAGCCATTTTGCCATGCCCATGTGCAAGATTCATTCGCCTGACATGTATGCAAAGTTTTGTGAGTCAAGTTCAAGCACTTTTTAGGCCTAGAGCTGGACGATATGGCCATACATGTTGTCACAATAAAAAGTTTAATATCTTTATATCGAGTTTAAAGGCTGATTTTTGCTCCAGAGTGAAAGTTGAAGAAACCTGATGGTGAATTGTGGTTTAAACTCTTCATTGTGGTCAACACTTGATGCCAAACAGTGGATCACCCATTAATCTGAGGTAGAAAATTCAAAACAATTATGATAAAATCTTTGTTAACAAATATGCATGAGCAAAATTAAGTAAAAGCTTTTTTTCAGTCCTTTTTCCTCGACAAAATAAACATCTTAATAAAAACATTTATTGAATATTTGCTGATAATTTTTCATATTGTCATTGAAAAAAATGTATTGCGATAATTGTTATTGTTTTATTATTATTATTGTATTATTGCCCTATTTAGACTCCCAAAAAGGAGATTAATTTCAGAAAATGCTTCGTGCTCAGACCCTAATAAATAGTTTGTAGTTGTTAACAGTCATGCTCAGTAGCAACTTCATTAGGTGCAGGTGTAAAATATACTGCAGTCCAAAACAACAGCTCAGCTATATATTCTACGTTTACAAAGACAATATTGTTCAGTTTTGTATGACTGTCAGAGAGCCATACATGTAAATATGATTATTAATTTTGTAGTCTGCTGCAATGTACTGGACTACGTGATACTGACAGATGAGAATGATGTTCACTTACTTCTTTGCTTCTTTAGCTGCTGTTAGTCTGTACCGCAGTCCTGCTCTGGTTCCTTCATCCTCTCGACTCTTCATCTCTCTAGTTTCTGGACCTTCTCTGCGTCTCCTTTCTCCTTCATCTTCTCAATCAGGAAGTCCAAGTGGACATGAGTGGACAGTGAATCAACATTCAGGGCGATCTGCTCCAGTCTGACAACAAGCTCGAAGGACTTTTCCAACAACTGATCTTTGTCTTTCTGAAGTTTTTCCATTTGCTTTTTAAAAGTTCCAAAAGGCTTGTGTCTCCTCACATCCTGCTTTACCTCTTTCATACTTCTCTTTCACATCTCAGGGTCTTCTGACTTTCCTTGTCTTGGTCACATAGATCCACTTTTCTTTCACATGATCTGATACAGGACACTTCCTGGTACATGAAGTGCAGCGGCCATCTTTCATGACCTCACAGTGTTCAGGATACCAGGCCTGTGCATCCAGGATAGTGACAGTTCTCCTCACAGACTGTACAGCAGACAGCTCCTCATAAAAACAACCCCCACCTCCCACCTTGATATTTCTTTTTCTTTATATTTCTCATCAACCTCTACAGTGAACTCTTCATTTCTCTTCATCTCTTCTTCATGTTTCTTCAGAGCTTCCTGAATCTGTTGGTTTTCTCTCTGTTTCTGTTCAGTGAACTCAACTCTCTCTTTCAGGTTTTGGATGCAGGCTGTCAGTCTGATTCGTGTCTTCAACACGTCAACGGTTGTCTTCACATTTTGAGGCCCAGATTTTTCTAGAAAGTATGTAAATTCATTCATTCCTCTCATTGATGTTTCCCATGCAGTCTCAAAAACAGACTTGTTTCCCTGTGTTCTCTCTGTGTCCTGGCAGTTATCAAACAGGAAGTAAACAGGCTGATTCTTTTCATTTCTGGCACATTTCACTTTTGCAGCATCAAGAGCTTTCAGAACATTTTCAGGTATCAGACCATTTGAGTGTGTGATGAGAGCAACAATGTTCTTCTCCATGTCTTTTCCAAACAGAGACGCCACTGAATCAAAGATGTACCTCAGTCGGTCACTCAGTCGATTCACACTCGCTTTCAGCACCAGACCCACTGCATCCATCTCATGAAGTTCTCCTGAGCGGAACAAGTCTAATAATCTCTGACTGATGATGTCATCTTGTTTGATCCCTCTGGTGTCTCCGTATCCAGGAGTATCGATGATGGTCAGAGAGTAGGGCAGAGTTTCACCTTCAAAACCAAAGATCTGGTACACCATCACATCTGATGTCTGACTCACTGTTTGGCTTCTTTCCTCATCCTCTTTCTTCTTCTTGTCCTCTACGATGTGAAACCAGACATCGTCCTCCCACTTCACTCCCATGGCGTAGTTGACCAGAGTTGATCAGAGTAGATTTTCCTGTTCCTGTTTCACCCACAAGCAAGATGGTTTTGTTTATCTTGTTCACATTTCTTTCACCGAGAGTCATTCTTCTTAGAGTCCAATGTTCTCTTCTTTGGTCTCAGCTGGTAGACAGCAGGAGGTCCTGGTGGATCAGATCACTTTGGAAATGATGTCATCATATGATGATTTTTTCTGTAGAAGAAGTAGATAATTTACACATTTAATTTCAGTGTTGGGCAAGTTACTTACAAAATCTAATTATATACATTATAGATTACTAGTTACTGTCATTTGAGAGTAATTAGTTATATTACAATATTACTGTCACTGAATTGTAATGCTTACACTACTTTTGTTACTCTTGAGTCACTTTCACTGATATTTAATGGGTGCATTATTCTGATAGTAAGATGTGCTGCATAGGTGTGTTCTAGTGATGTGCAGACCACAGTTAGGCTATATCTGCGGATCGGCTGGGTCTTTGTCTTAACCTTCTTATTTGGGGGGGGGGGGGGGGGGGGGCTAAATAGCATGAATCGTCTCCCCATGAAGAAAGACGCTATGTGCATTTACACACAAAGTCCACCGGCATAACGTCACTGATTAGTTGAATCTCCTGACACTCAGACAGGATCGATCAGAATGAACTGACAGCAGCCTCTCTGATCATGAAAGTAATTCGTTAAAGCACAAACACACAGCCTATAGAAATCTAAATACCCATGATCCATCAGGAGAGCTACCGTCTTGTTAGGAGGAGCGGATCTCCCCGTATTTTGCATCCTGCCTACAATCTCAACCATCGGATTCCTGCTGCAGGAAATATCGTTACTCTTACTAATGGATTTGTTTTTCTGCTGCCAAACAAAACACCCCTTAATTTCAGGTTAAAATGCGTTGCAATGCACATTAATGAGATTGTAATGGGTATAATATCACCAATTTTCTGTTAGTAACACATCCATACAGTATTCCTGCGTTAAAGAATAAAGCAATACATTACTTTAATTGCGTTACTTTTGTGACGCGTTACTCCCAACACTGTTTAATTCATATATACATTTTTCCTGTCCCTACCTGTACACCTCAAGTGTAAGTTTTTTCTAACAAAATATACTAAAACAAAATAAATCGAATTAATCATAAAAGTAAATACATCTTAAAAACTAAAGTCTAAATTTAATTAGAAACGTTTAGTTCTCCCATTTAGCATTAAAAAAACCATTAACATGTAATAAATGGTTTATACCAAATTACAATTGCAAAATTTACTAAGTTACTAAGTGCTTTAACAAGTGGTCAGGGCATTTTAATGGCTTTGGTTATTTAAATTGGTATATTGTCAATCTTTTGAAATGCAACCATTGCTTACATGGATATCAGAGTTTCCTTATGCACCATTATGTTTTTATTCCCTTAAAATGAAACATTTATATCTACATAACTGTGGGCACCCCCTTCTATAGAGGTCGACGTATTTTGTCATGTCATGTTTCCGCCAACAGGTTTGTTCAAATATGTTTCTAAATGCATGGCCTCAGATCTACTACAAATTGTCAACATATCTCTCCTCTCAGGTGTTTTCCCACAGACCCTGAAAACTGCACTCTTAAAAAAGAGCAATCTAGACCAGGAGTGCCCAACCAGGACCGTGGACTGATCCGAGGAGGGGTGTAGAAAAAAATATAAAAAATAATCGTTTTTTGTGTGTAGTGTGTGTGTGTTATATTTTGTAATAAATGTACACTACAGCCTATATCATGAGTCCTTGCCAACACGTCCACAAAAAAGTATTTAAAAAAACAGAAAAAGAAAAAAGTAGGTCACGTTTAACCTACGGTCGCACGTGACATGCATGACAGGACGTTGACAGCTGTCAACAGTAGCTAGAAGCTAGCGAAAAGCGGTTACACGCTCCTAAACGTTAACATGGCTGAGGGGAAACGAGCCAAGACCTACCATTTTCACCCTGAATGGGAGGAAGATAATTTTTTTGTTTATTCTCATTCAAAGCCTGTTTGTTTGATCTGCAATGCAATGGTGGTGTTGGCAAAGATAGGAAATCTGGAGCGGCATTGTAAAACAGTACAAGGGAGAGATGAGTTTTCATCCTTGGTCCAGTGACAATCTCACTGGACCTTGGTTCTCAGTGCTGAAGGACGTAGGAGAGGCCCACGCTGTGGGTGGGTGTAGACTAAAATTCTCAGTGCTGCGCAGGCGCGCAGAAGGGGTAAAGCCTGAAGAATATATCAAGGATTAAAGGACTTATGTCTCAGCAAGACCTGGAAAAACTTATCCATGCATTTATCTTCAGTCGACTCGACTACTGTAACAGTGTCCTTACAGGCTCCCTAAGAAATCCATCAGACAGCTGCAGCTGATTCAGAACGCTGCTGCTCGAGTCCTCACTAAGACCAAAAAGGTGGATCACATCACTCCAGTTCTGAGGTCTTTACATTGGCTTCCTGTATGTCAAAGAATTTATTTCAAAATCCTGCTGTTAGTTTATAAAGCACTAAATGGTTTAGGGCCAAAATGCATTTCTGATCTTCTGCTTCGTTATGAACCATCCAGACCTTTCAGGTCGTCTGGGATCAGGTCTGCTTTCTGTCCCCAGAGTCAAAACTAAACAAGGAGAAGCAGCGTTCAGTTATTATGCTCCGTATATCTGGAACAAACTCCCAGATAACTGCAGGTCTGCTGAAATTGTCAGTTCTTTTAAATTAAGACTGAAGACTTTTCTTTTTACCACTGCCTTTAATTCAATCAAATTAAAAGCCATAGATTAGTAACTTTCACTGCACTGTAATGTCCTGTTTTCTTTTTCTTACTTTTTAGATAACTGGATCAAAGTGGCCTGCGGACAGACATGTCCTGGTTTCTCTGTAGTGGACCCAAAGATTGCTATGGACCCGAGTACAGACTAGCTAGAGAGAGTAGATTAAGTGTACTTCTCTGTTTATTCTCTTTTCAAAATAATTGTAACTCCATTATTAGCTCAACCCCTCAGTTTTTATTTCCATCAAACTCTTTTGTCTTGCCAATGGTCACCACTCTTAGCAGCCGATTCTGGGTGGGACAGTATGAACCAGATAGTTGTGCCCTTGCCGTAATGTCAGCATGTTTTATCTGTAGCGCATGAAAGCAACTGGTCCGGTCATCTAGGTGTTACCAAGACATACCGGAACATTCTTAAACATTTCTTTTGGCCGGGTTTGAAATCAGATGTGGCCCGATTTTGCAGCAGTTGTCATGTATGTCAGTTATCAGGTAAGCCAAACCAAGTAATTCCCCCCGCGCTCTGTGTCCAATCCCAGTAACTGATGAACCGTTCGACCGTGTCCTAATTGACTGTGTAGGACCCTTACCTCGCACAAAGAGCGGTAATAAGTATTTATTGACAGTGACGTACCTGAAGCCTTTCCCCGGCGCACTATTACTGCTCGTGTTGTTGTTAAAGCGCTAAGTTCTTTGCAACTTCAGGTTGCCGCTTGTCATTCACTCTGACAGAGGGACCAATTTCCAGTCTAGTCAGTCTTTTCTAACAGGTTCTTAAAACATTGAATCTCATAAGCTTACCATCCTGAGTCACAAGGAGCTCTAGAATGTTGGCAGACGTTAAAATTCGATGCTCCGTAATTATTGTGAGGAAAATGGGACTGATTGGGAAGAGGGAGTCCCCTTTGTCCTGTTTGCTGCTCGCAACGCAGTACAAGAATCATTGGGGTTTAGTCCAGCACAGCTCGTGTTCGGCCACACACCCCGTAGACCGCTAAAAGTGCTACATGATCAGTTTTTGTCTCCGTACCCACACATAACATACTAGATTATGTTAGCCAATTCAGAGTGCCCTTGCACCAGGCTAATTCCACTGCCAAGCGGTTCCTCTCGGCATCACAGTGTCACAGCCCGGCTCATGGACTGGACAAAATCGGGAGACACACGGGTAAACTAAATAACAAAGTGATTTATTAATAAGTAAATAAGTGAAACCAATGAGTGGGAAGAATCTGTAAAGTCAGTAGTGTAGGGAGTGGATGAGTGAAAATGTGCTGCATGGATGTTGTGCTATAAAAACAAAGACAAGAAACCAAACAAACAACAGAAGCTGTGAAATGAAGGAAGTCCAACCCAAGACTGACTGCTGCTCTGGCTTATATGCATGGGGCACACCGGGCCCAGGTGTGTCCCATGCTGCTGATTATCCTGCCAATCAGGTCTGCAGCCCTGAGCACACCAACAGCAGTATGAACCCTGCAGAGGGGCCGTCACAACAGGAAGTCATGAAGACTCGCTACGACTGTTCTGCTGTTTCCTGACGTTTCCATGTAGGCGCCCAATCCTGATGATCTGTGGCCATGTCCTCTGGAGCATTCGAGTGCTCGGGCTTCCTAACACTGAAGCCTTGCAAACTGCCGAGCCATTTACAACATCTGCCTGCCGCAGCAAAGCCAGACGTGAAAAATCTAGTTGACCAGTTCTTGTGCCTATTCAGTGACATCCCGACCAGAACTCATGTCATTGAACATGATATTGAGCTGACAGACCCCCAGCCCATAAAAGTTCACCTGTACCATGCTAACCAAACCAAGTGTGAGTTAATGAAGGAAGAGGGGCAGTACCTCCTCCTGCATAGGTTAGTTGTACCTAGCTCTAGCCCGTGGAGCTCATCTTGTCTGGTAGAAGCTAAGTCTGATGGTGTTGGCCTTGCAACACTTTGAAGTGTATGTTGGGTCTAGTTCTGTGCCAGTAGTGGTCTACACAGATCATAACCCCCTTGTGTTTCATACATTGCAATCTGTGTTTTATGGGGGGAGTGTTACGGCTACCAAGGGCAGCCGTCTATGTTACTGTTGCTGCTATTTTCTCTGCATGTTAATTGGACTGTGAGATTCCCGGGTGGGGATTGGCTGGTTCCAAGGAAGTTCTGGCTGGTCCCGCCTCCCTCATCAGAGATTCCTGATTGGAGCGCAGCAACAAGCTACTCCAATCCCTGAGCTGCCTGCAAGACCTCCTTCAAGCTCCTCCGGTTTAGATAGGCTGGTCTGCTGCTGTGTTGAGGCAGCTACCATTCCCCATGTAGTGTGCCTCTGTGCTGGTCATTGTATTGAAGCCTGTGTGTGCGTGTCCTTAGTGGCAAACCCCTTCTTGTGTTACTGAGAGTCAGTAACACATCTTATTTTGAACG